GCAAACAATTACAGTACACTGTACAAAAGCAAAAATGCATCTGATACGTAGCTCCGATACGTAGCGATGCAGACAGAAGCGTGTACAGTATGAGCCAATCAGTGGCAGTAATAGAGCATGCGCTGTTACGCCAAAACCACGATAGAGTGAAGCCGCGGAAGTCGAAGCGCGAAGTGGCGAGGGTTCACTGAATTTGGATTCTTCTTTTATCAGTGTCTGCTGTGGGTCTGACACTGGGCAGTACAGACTCTCAAGATCCATTTACTCTGTGAGTTGCACAGAAACAGGGGACTCTTGTTTCAACCTGGTACTCACTTTTGGCCGTTACAGTGAGTCCTTAATCATGGTTTCACTACCTTTAGCCAGCCATAGAATTGCCACTACTGTGCGCCAAATGAGTACTAACGTGTACTGCTCTTACACCATACTCCTTGCATCGCTTCAATTGGGACAAAGTTTAGTGTTTAAATAAACCTATAAAAATAAGTTGGGGAGGTTGTTGAGTTATTGTCAAGGCTGTCTTGATAACAACCTCTGTGGAAATTAAAGGAAATCATTCCCAGGATGGCATTTAGGTTATATGTAGCTTTCAGTAGTTAAGTCATGGGAAAGAAGTTACCTAGGAAGTACCACATCAGGTATTCTGATGAAGGAAGCCATCTATATACACAGCTAACCAGCTTCTCAAAAGACCATCATGACCTTTCAGCCTTCTGTGAAAGGTCAATGTTCTTGTCCAGGAAGAGTCTGATTATTCTCATTTAATGTAAATTAAGTCTCCTGACTTCGTAATAAGTAAATAATGAATGACTACATGATTTGCTTATCTTACAAATTTTGCGTGAACCACCCGGATTCATTTTAGGGACCTGTGGCAGCCTAGTATGTTTACCCTGCTATGAACAGGGATATAACTTGAGTGTCCAAAGTATGGTTGGTACAGGACTTCAGATGATGGGTTAAGACAAGCCACCTTGAACAGTCGTCCTGAGCGTACTGCCATGACAAAAGTCCCTTTCTAGGATGACTCAAAGCCAGAAACACCTCTTCCGCTATTTGGTGTCTGTTCTCTCTGTTTCAGTGATGACAGTATGGGCTATCAGTATCCATTCACTCTACGAGTCGTGCAGAAAGATGGAAATTCCTGTGCTTGGTGCCCGTGGTATAGGTAAGGTGACCTTCTTGCAAAAGGAAAAATTGAAGCTTCAAATAAAGTGCCTTTTAATTGATTTCCAGGTTTAAGGCTTATGAATGCTAAGATGCTTGAAATAAATTTTAGTCAGTGTAAGTTCCTCCTTGTGAGGTCAGTAGCTAGATTTTACTTGAGACTTAGCTGGTTTATAAACCCACCTGTTCACACTAAATTCATAGTTTATGATCACTAATTATTATTCTGTACCTTTAACTCCTTGAAAATGAATCTGTTTGGCAATTCTAGCCCAGTAGTATATAATCTGTAGACTATACAGACCTTGCTGTGAGTCTGTTCAAATCAGGAAAATGCCTGACATTACAAAAGCCAGCCTTTAGAGAAATGTAAGAAGAAACTTAGAAACCTAGTCTAAAATATACACTGGAAACATGGCTTTATCATGGATTCCAGCTACCTCCTCAGCCCCACACATTTTTATGTACATTCATTTGTTTTGCACTTTTAAACAAGGAAAATAAGCGTTGATAACACCAGATAAATTGCCTGCCTCAGAGCACTAACCACTGAATTTAGGGCTTCCTTAGCATTACATTGTCTTGAACACCTAAGTCCCATTATCATGGAGTGGCCATAAGCGATCATACCTTCATGTGAATTAAGAAATGGCTGACGAGTGCTTTGAAAAAACAGATTTGATTAATGATAAACATAGTTCCCTGGAATATAAATAATTATTAATATTGGGCATCTATCAGACTTGGGAAACCCAAGAAAGGAGTATGCTTTTGATAAAGAAAATCTGGAACCTTTCACAATTGTTTTTCCAATGAATCTTTTTTTGTCCCCCTTTAGATTTTGCAGAGGCTGTAAAATTGACTGCGGGGAAGACAGAGCTTTCATCGGCAATGCCTACATTGCTGTAGACTGGGATCCTACTGCTCTTCACCTCCGCTATCAGACGTCACAGGAGAGGGTGAGTATGCAGGGCCACCTCAAGATGGAGGGTTTTATATATGAAAAACTGCAATTTAAATGTGTCATGCTATTTCTGTTTTAAACAATTTAAATATACCCAGCCCAGGAAAATGTGCGTTGGCATTCTCTGTTTCACTTAAATTAATATATTTACATAACTGCTTGGATTTTACAGTTTTCCCATTGCAAGGATTCATTGTATTAGGCCTTGAAGTGAATCGAGAAACAAAATCGTAGGTGTGACTAAAATGTTAATACAATTCTCTGGCTCAAGCAGGAAATCTGCCAGTGAAGCAACAGCATTTGGTGACCACAGCTACTTTGTTCAAAAGCACCCAAGAGCTATAGTGCTACTCCTAGTGGATAGAGTGATCCAGAGAAATGAGAGAAAAGACTGAAATGTTTCAAGTCTGTCCATGAAAGAATAGGTTTCTTCTACTGCTATTCTCTGGCCAGGTTAATTTTTATATTGAAAATATTACCTCAAAAAGAATAGTAACTCCTTATAAAAATGTTTGCCTCAAACAGTTGTTAAATCAACCAAATACTATATGAAGAGTGGGCAGAGATGGACTAATAAATTCAATGGAATGAAAGAGATGTAGTTGCGTGAGGAATTATAGTGGTTTGGGTACGTTAAGGCTTTTGGTTGTTGGGAATTACCTTCTCTGTTTCTTCAAGCATTCCCTTTAGCTGAGTTAAGCGTCTCTGGTTGCACAATGTGTTCAACACTGAGCGGCTAACCGTGAGGATGGCTATGGGTCAGAATCAACTCAGTGGATAGTAGGTTTGCTTTTTGTTTCGTTTTTAGCTAACATAGTGATAGCAGTTGACTTTCTGTCTTTTTGTGCGGTTTAGGGGTGAGGAAACTACCAACTTCCCTGCCTTACCTACTCAGTGCTGTAAACTACACCATCCATTGTGGGAGTAACTTCCTTTAACTGCCAGTGACTGTGTCAAAATAGCTTTGTTAATTTTCCAACTTTTTATTTTAACCTATCCTCGCTCCAATAAGAAGTAATACAGGGAATAAGACCCTGAATTACCTTGCAGTCCCGATGTATGACCCCTCACCTTGATATTCCTGGCCGCTCTCACTAGCTAAGGAAGAGATTAATTGTGGATAGATGCCAAACGAAAGATCCTTGGACTGAATCTAAAGGAGGCTAAGGAGAAGTTGGTATTCCAGCAGATCACTTTGCAAGGTGAATGAAGCCCCAGTGGCATAGTGGATTATGCTATCAGCAAAGTCAGCGGTTCAAACCTTACCAGCCCTTCCTCTGGAGAAAAATGAGGCTGTCTAGTCCATGGAGATGTATAGTCTGAGAAACACAAGGAACAGTTCAACTCTTTTCTTTTTTTATATAATTATTTTATTGAGGGTTCATACAACTCTTATCACAATCAGTGCATACATCCATTGTGTCAAGCACATTTGTACATTTGTTGCCATCAACATTCTCAAAACATTTTCTTTGTACTTGAGCCCTTGGTATCAGCTCTTCATTTTTCCCCTCCCTCCCTCATGAACCCTTGATAATTTATAAATTATTATTATTTTTTCATCTCTTACACTGCCTGATGTCTCCCTTTACCCTCAACTCTTTTCTATAGCACCACTGTGAGTTGGAATTAACTCGATGGGAGTGAGTTTTTATAGCAAGGTGATTCAGTAACATCAACTATGCCTCCCTTGGGAATAGGGGAAATTTTAGCAGCTGATCTCGGGCAGCACAAAATCTTAACTTGACAAGACACTCCTGTCAAATATAAAAATCATTTGTGTCTGTAACTTACTCTCCGTTTTCAACATGACCTGTGTTCAGTCTGAGGACACAAGAAGTTGCTACGTGACCAGTTCAATCTTGCCCACTTCAGTGTCAGTGATGCACTTAAGATACCATGGGAACCAAGCACTGCTAAGATACCCTGCCTTCCTGGGGAGCAGGCCACATGAGTAATTTGTCTCTCCCTCCTTGTGGCTTCTGCTTGTGCTCGGTGAGTCACGTACACAAAGGAGACACACTGGGATTCAAATGAGAATGAAACCCCAGAGATTCCCCTCCTTGGAATTCATCCTAGGAAAATACTTAATGTGCAGACAATATTCATCATAACATTTCTAGGCTAATGAAAAATTGAAACAATTTGTTTGCCCAATATTAGAGAAATGGTTTAATAAAGCTTGATATATGTATTGGCTAAACTATTATAGTCATTGAAGATGATGGTGCTTGTACTGATGTACAGAAGAAGATAATTCCATTATGTTTTTGAAAAAGCAAGATATAAAATTGCATACACAGTCATGCACCATAGAATGTCCATTCAGGCAACATCAATCACACATTGCATCCTCAGTTGTATAAGATTATAATAGAGTTCATAAATCCTGGTGGGAAAATAAGACAAAGCAAACAAAACAGCTCACCACATGCTGTACCGTGTTATCTCAGTATCTCTTTACAGAGTGATTGGCATCCCAGGAATTCAGTACAAAGGGAGCTCAGAAAGGTCTTGGGGAAATGCCATTATCTTATAACTTCATTTTTCCATGAACATATTGAAACCCTTTGTACATTTATAACCTATAATACATATGCCTTGATACGCATGATAAACATCTGCTGTGCTGTACTATCTATCTAAAAAGTTTGCTTTACAACAGTGTCTACTTCAACTCAGGGCAGGTACATCCAGCCTCTCGTCTCTAAAGGGTTGAAGCTGTTGTAACCTTACCTGTGATTAGTCTTCTTTTGAAAATGTTATCAAGAAGTGCACCATGGTTCCTAAATGCAGCAAAACTGTCCATTGAGAGTGAAACAATAGGATATGAAAACATCAGAAAAGTGGATAATCGCAGGGAACCAGTAGAGAGGTGTGAGGGGCCGGCCCCAATCCCAACTACATGGACAGCCCTCCTCCCTGGCAGAAGAATTCCCTGCAGAGGACAGCACTGAAGCTACAGCTCAGGGAGAGGGATATATCTAATCAGAGCACATGGGAGCAAATGAAGGGGGAGGAAGAGAGAGTGGCACATCCTGGCCCACCAAGCCCAGAGGATGATATTCCCGCTCAGAGCAGCCAATGTACAGAGAGGACCATAAGGCCGGCCCTACTATGAGACACAACATCCCTCACTGACCCATAGTGCTACGGGGACAACACTGGAGACACAGTGTGGGTATTGCACCTGATCTCACCCCACCACACCAAGGCAAAACATTAATGGGCATGCAACAGAACAGCAAAGGGAACAGAGCAACAAAGTCCCCAGGGAATACCAAAAGTAGACTTTGGGGTCAGGATGTGGCACCCCATCAGGCTCGACCAGAAAACACTCCTAAAGGTCAACAAACAGAACTTGAAATATTTATAGACTTTTCTTTTGGGGGGGTTGTTGGGTTTTTTGTTGTTGTTTTCTTCTGTTGCTTTGTTTTGCTGTCTTGTTTTTGTGTGCATATTATTATCTCTGCAGGTTTAGCTAGATAAGATAAGTGGGATAAACAATCTGGAGGGGAAAAAACAGAAACAACAGTTCCAGGGGGACATATGAGAGGGGCAGGCAGGGGAAATGAAGTAGAAGTTAACAAACCCAGGGTCAAGGGAGCAACAAGTGATCTAAAATCAATAGTGAGGAGGGTGGAGGAGGCCTGGTAGTGCTTGATCAAGGGCAGTGGAACCAAGAGGAATTACTGAAACCCAAATGAAGGCTGAACATGATAGTGGGACAAGAGGAAAGTAAAAGGAAGTAGAGGAAAGCACTAGGAGGCAAGGGGCATTTATAGAAGTCTAAATATAAACAAGTACATATGTAAATATATTTATATATGATGATGGGAAAATAGATCTATGTACCATATATACCCGAGTATAAGCCTACCCAAATATCTGATGAGGCACCTAATTTTACCACAAAAATGCATTAAAAATGTGCTGGAAAACTTGGCTTATACTGGAGTATATACGGTATATATATTGATAGGCTTAGTATTAGGGTACCAGATAGACATTGGGCCTCTACTCCCGCAAGGCAAGAACATTTTGTTCTATTAAACTGGCATTCCGTGATGCTCACCTTCCCAACTTGATTGCTGAAGACAAAGCGGGCACATCAGCAAATGTGATAAAGAAAGCATCTGGGGTCTTAAAGGCTTGAAGATAAACAAGTGACCATCTAGCTGAGAAGCAACAAAGCCCACATGGAAGAAAGCACACCAGCCTGTGTCATCATGAGGTGTTGATGGGATCAGGTATCAGGCATCAAAGAACAAAAAATCATATCATTGTGAATGAGGGGAAGTACAGATTGGGTCCCTGTATTAGTCTGGGTACTTTGGAGAAACAAATCCACAGCAACTCACGTATAAGAGAGTTTTATGCAAAGAAAATGTGCATCACGAAAACATCCCAACCCAATGCTGCCCAAGCCCACAAGTCCAACATTAACCCATTAACCCAA